CCAATGCTGTCCCATTAATGCACTCGCTTGGGCTGGCATGCTCTATTATTCTCACGTCTGAACGCTATTTGGGTGAATCTGAAATCCGGAGGGACCAAACGATCTGTCAAAACCTTCACTGCAATAGAAAAGTCAAAAATAATGCTCAGTTCCATGTACGGCTGAATCAGTGATTTCAAATTTCTTAAGGAAAAAAAGGGGCCAGCTTTAATTCCAATTTCGCTTCGTTTCATAGATCGACAACCTCACCTAATACACATCAACTTTGTCACCCACGCGGCCAACACTAGTTTAGCAATTTATAATCCAACTTAATACTAGTAATAGTTAATAGTAGGCATAATATCAATATAGGGGCATCGATTATCCTCGTGGCACCCACGGTGCAGTTTGGGTTCTATTTATTTATTCCTTTTTTCCGGCTGATGAGTGGTGCTCAGTAATTTGAGCCTCACAGTAATCATTCTGTTCATCCATTGAGTAATTTACTCATTGCTGCTTTATTTAATTTATCAAGATTTATATTATACTCATTTTGTTCCACCTTCTAAGACATTTTCCCACTCTTTTTTTCTTCTTAACTTTGATCCTTAATATAAAAATTAGTTGACTAATTTGAGTAGGCTAAAAAAATTAATTGAGTTATTTATTTATAATAAATAAGTGTTGCATTTCCTAAAATATTATTGTTAGTAAAGTATTATTTGATGAAATATTTAACATATGCAACTATTACAAAGAGTATATTAAGAAAAATAAATAAATATGAAATAAACTGAATTAAAAATTAAACTAATTCTCGTGTTAATAATTGAAAGTAATACATTAAAGGGAAAACTAGTTTAGAGATCCTTACCACTCTCATTGATCTTTTCTTTCCTGCTTCCGTCAGCGGATCCTTGATTAGTTTCTAGGCACTACTCTGCATTTGGACTTGGTTACGCTGCCAAAACCAACATGATGACACATGGAAGCAAACAAAACAACAACTACCTTATATGCTCTCCTGTCATATTTTAATTGTTTTTTCTATTAACTTGTCATATTAATCTTGCAACTTAACGACAAGGCAATTACTCAGACCTTATATTGTAAACTTGAGGAGAGTGTTTGAAATTAACTAAAGCTGAAGAAGTGTATACAAATTAATGTGTGTGGAACCAAATGTGCAGAGTTGTTTAAGAGTGTCGGCTACTGCCATTAGGAGGTGCACTAGTCTCAAGCTCCTGAAATCCTCAAACCACCGCCCACTTCATTGTCGGGCATCGGCCGTGGTTATACTTTCATTGTAAATCAGAGTTGTTGCCCCCTTCGTCTTCCACATAGGGATCCATTTCGGGAATATGTTAGGAAGGGAGTTGGGCCATTTAATTGTGGGGCAAAAGAATACTTTCGGGAATAAGCAAAGAAGAGAGGAGAACTAGTTTGTTGTGGGGCTACGGTGGAAGGAGATGGGGGGAAAGATAGTTTCAACTAACAAAATTTTTTGACACTGTTAATGCTTATTTAACGGCAGGGACTAAGTAATCTAGCAATAAAAAATTAAAGGATCTGATAAAAAGAAAAAAAAAACTTAGAAACCTGATTCAAAATTGAATAAAACTGTAAGCACCTCCAAACTAATTTTCTCTGTATTAAAAAAGATGAAGTATTTGAGTGTTTTTTTTTTTTTGGGTTACAAGAGAGGGCAAAGCCCAAAAACTTAAAAATCAAACAACTAGGGGATTGAATCCCATACACTCAGAAGCTACTAAGTCTTGAAGCCTAGGCGGACAAGAGTCTAACAGCGAGCTGGTAGAGAGTCCTTCTTTCGCAAGTTGATCTGCAATCCGATTCTTCTCTCTGCCGATGAAAGTAATCTCCACCTTCCACGGCAGTTTAATCATCTTCTGAATTTGCAACACTAAAAGACCACTATTATGAGAGGGTCCATTAGATTTTAGAAGATTAATCTGATTCAAAGCATCAGACTCTAGGATGATGTTTTTGAAACCCATATCCCAAGCAAGTTGCAGGCCCTTATAAATAGCCCATTGCTCTGCATCTGACGCCAAACAAGACCCCAAAAAATGAGAGAATCCAGCAATCCATAAACCATTATGATCTCGGATGACTCCCCCACATCCTGCTCTAGCAGACGAGTTAGACACAGCTCCATCTACATTCAATTTGATCCAATTTCTAGGGGGTGGTTGCCAAGCTAGGGAAACAGTGCTACTAGCAGAGTATTCATTGTGAGATTCAACTTCATACTGAACAAAGTGCTTCCAGCTATTCAGAATAACAAGGGCTGGTTCACCAGGTTTAACAAAGTTTGGATTGAAGGTAGCTTCATTCCTCCATTTCCAGAGCTTCCAAATAGATACTCCCCAAATCAACTCCCAATTACCATCATTTAATACCCCCAAGTCTCTTTTCAGATTGAGAGCGAACCAATCTTTAATGTTAGCAGCAAAAAAAGAAGAGTGATACCTTGGATGTAAAATCTGCTTCCATAAGTATTTAGCGTACTCACAGTCGCGCAAGATGTGCATAGTATCTTCCCTCACCAGATTACAGTGGGAGCATAAAGGAGAATTAGATGACCAGAAACTCCTCCACACATTTGTAGGTAATCTATTTTGGACTGCTAGCCACATAAACACACGTATTCTTTCTATGCCTTTCCATTTCCAAATAGCTTTGTAAACACTGCTATTAGTTGTGTCAATCAAACGCTCCAGCATGTAATAAGCACTTTTCACCATGAAGGAGCCATCAACCGTTGCATTCCATGATAAGAAATCCTCACCAGCTTCTATCATTGGGGGTATTCTTGCGATCAGTTTATGTACTACATTCTGTGGGACTAGCGAAGATAAACTCAAGAAGTCCCACGTGCCATAGCTTACCCAGTCTGCCACTTTACTCTCTTCTTCCTCCACTGAGAGTTGTCTAAGGCAAAGTTCCTTGATGGATTTGTCTGGAAAAATCCAATGATCAGTAAAGAACCTTACCGATTGACCATTCCTAATAGTCCATTTAGCGCCCATATCAACAATATCTTTCTGCTGTGCAATGAATTTCCAAGCTGGAGAGTCACCATTTCGTGCTTCTAAAAGATTAGAATCACTTCTAAGCATATATTTTTTGAACAGAGCGTCGATCCATAATCCCTTCTCCCCTGAAATAAGTTTCCACGTCAGTTTAGCTCCAAGCGCCCGATTAAGGCTAGTGAGTCTTTTGAAGCCAAGTCCTCCTTGTAGTTTTGGAAGAATAATTTGTTCCCATCCTATTGGATGGAAACCATGATTCCTATTAGAGGTTCCCCAAATAAAGTTCCTTTGTAATTTCTCAATTTCTAGACAGACTGTAACAGGAATTTTTGCTACTTGCATTGGGTAAATTGGTATGGCACTAATAATTGATTTGGCCAGCACAACTCTTCCCGCCATAGATAAACAATTCTCTTTCCAATTTGATAACCTGGCCTTGACAGAATCAATTATGTACTGATAAGTATCTTTGGGTCTCCTCCTTCTGGAGATTGGAAACCCAAGATACTTCCCTATTCCACAGGAAGTATTCATTCTAGTAATACCACAGATAGTATTCTTTAAGTCTGTGGGCACTTCAGGGGAGAAAAAGATTGAAGACTTATCCTTACTGATTTTTTCACCAGAAGCTGCACAAAAAGACTCCAGGCAAGTCATCATACACTCAGCTTGTCTTTCAGTTGCTTCACCAAAAAGGAGTATATCATCTGCAAACATGAGATGAGAGATAGCTGGCCCATTCTTAGTGATTTTAATAGGCTTCCAAGTACCCCTGTTGACAGCATCATTAATAATATGGGAAAGCCTATCCATACAGATTACAAAGAGGAGTGGCGAGATTGGATCACCTTGACGAAGCCCTCTTTGGGGAAAGAAGAATTCTGTAAGCGACCCATTCCAGAGTATGTTATAAGAAACCGATGCAACACAATTCATAATTAGTCTCACGAAATTTTCTTCCAGACCCAAATCCACTAAGACTTGTTGAAGAAAATCCCATCTTAGACGGTCATATGCCTTCTCTAAGTCAATTTTCATAGCCATGAGACCTTTTCTACCTTTAGCTTTCTTCATAACGTGAATAATTTCCTGCCCCACAATTATATTGTCTTGTATATGTCTTCCTTTGATGAAACCAGATTGAAAGGGGGAAATCAGATCATCCATCATGCCTCTCAGTCTATTAGTGATCACTTTGGTTAAACACTTGTAATGAACAGTGCAGAGAGATATGGGACGAAAGTGACTCACTATTTCTGGAGTATCTCTTTTAGGAATCAAAGAAATTAGGGTCCTATTAGCATCATTCAACGGACAATTCTGCTGGAAGACAGATTTTACAAAATCACAGACAGATTTTCCCACAGTATTCCAATTAGCTTGGTAAAAAATAGGGGAGAAACCATCTATTCCAGGAGCTTTATAAGGCCCCATCGCAAATAAAGCTGCTTTTATTTCTTCATCAGTAGGGGTAGCCCCTAATTGTGAAATCTGAGTACCACTGAGCTGCGGAAATTTCATATCCGTTTGAAGCAGGCAATTATCATCTTCAAAGAGATCTTTAAAGTATTTCACAACTAGAGCCTTCAAATCCTCATCATCATTTAACCAGTTACCCCCAGCATCCTTTAGAGTAACTACTCTATTCCTTCTTCTTCTCATGTTCGTTTTCATATGATAATACTTGGTATTCCTATCCCCCTTAGTAATCCAAACTGATTGAGATTTCTGAAACCATTTCATCTCTTCTAATTTAAGGATTTCCTCTAATTCAGCTTGCAACGACATCTCTAGATTGTTTAAAAAGGAAGAATGGGGGTAAGCAGGAGAATTTTGAATACCATTAAGCCTGGACAAAATAATCCTTTTCTTTTTTTCTACCATACCGAACACATTTCTGTTCCAATTGGCAATAGAGGTTTTGAACTTTTCAAGGGAAGCATTTAAATTGACCGAACTATTCCACTAACTGGAAAGGAAACGATTGAAATCATCATGCTCAAGCCACATAGCTTCAAAGCGAAACGGCTTTACAACATCACCAGAGTGAGACGAGTGAAATTGAAGACAGATTGGGTTATGATCAGAAAAATTAGTTCTTGGAAGTACCTTTAAGTAGCAGTCCGAAAGGGAACTGAGAAACTCAGAATTGCACAAAGCTCGGTCCAATCTCTCATACAGCCGTCTGAGTCCGTTGAGCCGAGGACCCCTCCAGGTGAATTTAGGGCCCTTGAATCCCATATCCACTAAACCACAATCCCTAATTCTGCTTTGGAACCAATCAATTCGGTTATAAGGAATTTGAGCACCTCCTATGCGGTCTGAGGCAGCTAGAATATCATTGAAGTCGCCAAATACAACCCAAGCATTAGAAATGGACTGTGAAAGATTGAACAAGTTTCGCCAGAGCTGCTGTCTATAGTCATGATGAGGTTTTGCATAAAGTGCAGTCAAGATAAAGGAATTTCGCCCAGGTATCTGACAGTCAACATGAAAATATTGGTGATTTTCCTCGAGGACTAAGATTCTGATCGAGTGACTCTTCCACGCCATCACGATTCCACCAGATTGGCCATTGCTAGGAATTACTCGCACTTTGTCAAATCCTAGGGAGGATAGACAGCGAAACCTTTCTTCATTTTGGCATCTGGTTTCAGCTAAGAAAATAATAATGGGCTTGGTCCCATCACAAATGGGCTTAATATTATGGAGGAGCCCTCTACCGCCTGCTCCTCTTGTATTCCAATATAGGATACTATCCATAAAAAATTGGAAAGGAGAGAGAGGAGGAATCTCGGCCTATTAGGCCTCAAACTGGGTTTCTGGAACAATTGTTCCTATACCGCTGAAGTTCTCGCCTGCTCCATTCCCCGTTGGGCTTTCATCACGCAGCCCATTAACCTGATCTCCAGGATCTACATGCATTTGCGTCTGCCCTGGGTCATAATGCTGGTTAATATATTGGGCCTGGTCATCCATAATAGAATCTGGCTCTTCATCTATAGCCCGTATAGATTGCCCGTTCACACCTTCCAGCTGACTATCCTCCTTTTGACTCTCTAGTGTTAACATCATAATCTCACCGCTTCGCATTTCATTCCTCATCATTTCTCTTGTCCTTTTCTCCAAGCGTCTGGCTCGTTTTTCCTCCCGCAGCTCCTCTGCCGTTTTGCTCGGAACCACTACCATTGTACCTTCACTGGTCCCATTTTGCTTTTTTGGAACACTCCCTAATTTTGCTCTCTGGAGACGCAAGGCGGTAGTGCGTTGGGGTGAAGATAGTTGCTGCTCCACCTCATGTACGGGATACGGAATAATAGGCAAATCCTCATCTTTCTCGTCTGCTGCCACGTCAGCTAGAATGCCAAATCTTGATCCCCTGTTTTCCGGCTTCGACGACTCTACCTTGGCATCCTTGCTTTTCCGTTGCCGGCGAGGTTTTTGAACAACTCGCCAAAGATCTTGGGCAACATTTGGATTGGATCGCGATTGTTCTCCCTGTAATTGCTCATTGTCTTCTTTATTCTCACTGCTAGCATTCTTCTCTGTGGAATTCACTTTGATTGGGCAAGATTCATTTCGGTGGCCATAGAATCCACACTTTGTACAGAGCATATGAAGTCCTTCGTATTCAAGATAATAATCCTCACCATCAAGATGGAACCCCGACATGAGTTGTTTCCCCAGATCAACTAAAACACAAATGCGAGCATAGTGTCCCCTCAGATGACATGAAGTATTTATATCAATCCGTATAGTCTCTCCAATTCTATTACCAATGATGGTAAGGGCTTCTTCATCGTAGTATTCCAAAAAGACTCTTGGTAGTCTTACCCACACTGCAACCTTGTCAATATTTGCTCGAGCTGGTCTGAATTGAGGCTCCCAAGGTCTTACTGTGAGATAATGATCGTATATCATCCAAGGACCACCTGTTAAGGCATTGAAGTAATCCTCTTTATTGGTCATCTTAACCACAAAGAAACCATGACCAATGTTAATAAGGCTAATGACTCCTCGTTTTGCCCATAGCACTTGTAATCTAGCCAGTAATGCTTTATACCCAATGCTTCTATCCAGCAACTTCACGATGACTGCTTTCTTCCAGGCTTTGTACAGCCTCTTCCTCATCCTCCCTGAGAAACAGAACGTTGGGAAATTCCTGTCGGGGTTTTCAATAGTTTTGAACAGAGGTTCCTTATCACTATCATGATTGGAATCCTGGGACATATGTGTTTCTGAATCAGTATCAGAGTCATTCTCAATGTCATCTTGTTCCTCACGTTGCTTATCGACACCTTTCAATTTATCAGCGAAGGAAGGGCCTCCTACAGAGTACTCAGGAGCTTTACTACCAAGTTGAGGCCAATGACCACCCAGAATATTCATCGCACCAACATTCCTTGCATTTTTAATCTTTTTAGAGCTTCGCGCTAGCAGGTCATCGTCTTCTTGAGAAGAAGGAACGAGAGCGGACTTTCCGGTAGAGAGCACCATCTTTGAAGTATTTGAGTGTTTCCTGACGAAGAGCACGAAATCTTGGCATGGCCGGAAAAATACAAAACCAGGTTTTTTTGATGGGTGGACCTGGATCCTTGGGTTGGGCGCATGGCCTGCCGCTATTGGGTCCCCATCTTCTATTTTGAATCTGGAGAGAACCGTTAGTGTCAATTCGGTAATTTAGTTCGATTACGAGAGGCAAACTACCGAGACGCCGAAATTTCAGTCTTGGACAGGATTTCGTCCCCCGAAACGTTGCACAAAGTCCACGATCACACAGTCAGACACTCTCTCTCCAATGCTCTAATTGTCTGTCTTATCCACGACTCGTGATTCAATTTTCAATCGTCCTCCGCCATCATCCAGGGGTAAATCAGTCATATGTCTTTAAACGCCATAATAAAAATTCAAATTTTGGATGGTTACATCTCTCGGGGTGATAAATATTAAATATTATATTTATTATTAAAATACAGATTGCTTCTATGGAAATTAAAAGGGCTGCTCATTCTCGCTTCGAACTATCTGTTTGTACTCTGTCTCGTTCAAATTGTATTTGTTGCGGTGCTTAATATAATACGAATCAGAAATTTAATAAAAACATTTAAAACCCCCCTTGGAACCTATTTCCCTACAGTGTGAGTGCCGGCCTGGGACCGCGCATCGTCCTCCTCATTGCTTCGGGACTGATTCGGAGCTCCGTAACCGACGCGGACTCACCCTGCTGGTGATACATTCTGGTTGCTTGGGGGGAAGAGATGCAAGAAATGGAGGAAGATATGGAAATCGAGCACTTCTTTGTTGCTCATGAAATAGACCTCGATTATGAGTTTGATGCGGCTCGCTTCTTTGATTTCACTCGACCGGAGACTCCTGCCGAAGCTCATCAAGCAGAAATTTGGTTCGAAACTGCTGGAAGTTACCCTCCTTCACGTCCGTACCTTTCTCTTCCTTTCTTGAATCTTTTTTTATTTGGATGGAGGTCCTTTCAGTTCATTTTTCACTTTTCAATTATTATGTACACAATGACCTGCGACTGCGGCGTAATGTTCCACTCTTGGCGACTACGCCGTGTTTACTTCTATTACCTGGTCACATTTTCTTCATTCTGATAGGTATACTTGGCTGCGTTTTCTCTGACAATGAGTGGCTTGGCTTTTAATGGCTGATAGGATGCTAGGCTTTAACTGCTTTACTGTTTGCATGTTCCCACTGAAATCGGACATCATATAGCCCTAGGAATCATATTTTGCCTCTGTTTCAGCTTTTGTAGCGAAGCTAGTTATGGGAGAGGACGTTCTTATTGAGAGTGCGACTGCCTCTCCGAAATCAAAACACCTGGAATACACAAGTTTGATGGATGATAGCAAGGTCAGTGTTCCGTCCGCGATGGAGTATTCTGAGACTGATATTGACAATAAAGGTATGCGTTTTGTTTTATCATGTGCTTTTCTCATATTCTGTTATAATATGCTTGTTCAGTCTTCTTATATGTGAAGTACACTATGCTCATGAGGAGTTTGCTATAGTACTTATACGTATGCAAATTTCCATCACTGGACCCTTCCATCGAATTCGGAAATCTGTCTAGATCGTAGAGAGACTGGTCATTAATTACTAATTATATGATAAAATACTTTAATAATTTTTTCTATGATGAAGCTAATTGGTCGCCAGTGACATTAAAAAAAAAAAAAAAGCATGGCAAATTTTTTTCACAAGTCATACACTATGTGCGTCTGTCCCTTGTAACTTTCTTCACGGCTAATTCTCCTGGGCCTCAACTTCACTCTTGGGCAGTTCATTAAGCTGCTTCAATATTTTTAACTGACAGTTGAGGTTTATCTGTTGGCATTAGACGTGTTTTTGACGTGTCCATGTCTAATTGGTTTGCCAGGCTTGCATTTATACTCGCCTTAGCAGTTAGCATCATATTAATGTTCTCACATTCAAACATTGAACTCCTGCCCTTCAGAATTAACTGCAACAGTAATCTGTACTTTGTAGTTGGTTCAAATGTCTAAAACTCTGGAGGCTATGCTGGCAGTATTTCTTGCAGCAACATAACAAAAATGAAGGGCGAAACTGGGACATTGATTACTTTAATGGCCTCTTTCATTTAACATTCATACCTTTTTCCTGTTCAAGCTGTAATGGGCGGTTCAAACTTCTGAACTTTATCAAACACTTTCGAATTGATGATGGTTTTTAATTTTCAGCGGATGTGAAAGCAGGTGGCAATATTTCTGGCTTATTGAGTGGAATTCTACAAAATGTTGCCAAGGAGCCATTACAAGTAACTACAGGTAATCAATGAGATAATATGCACCTTACTTATGTTGTAATTGAACAATGATATCATGGTCGTGTCTGCTTCTATGTTTTCTCTCTCTACTCTGACTTTTTTTAATTCCTTTTTTTGCTTGGCATGTGTCTATGTCTCTTTCTAGGATTTACCTTTTATGGTGAGAGTAAGATAACCTGGGACAGTATGAATTCTAAGGCCAGATCAGCTGTCTCAAAGAGATCAACATTGATGAAACCTACTGCCAGTCAGTTGGCAAAGCAAAATCGACCTCCCCAAACTGTTGGCTCCAGGTGGATTTCAGCAAACTTTGTCAATTTTTTGGTAGTTAACGAGGACTAATGAACTATGAACAGAATAACATTATCATGCGTTGTTTGCATGTGAAACGTATCATGTTTATGTAATTTACTAGATTTATGTTACCTCACTAAGGTGTGGTGTGTTGCCTTAAATTCTCTCTAACTTTGGTAAGTGCTTTGTTCTCTGTGGAGTTCTAAGTTTTTTGGGCTGGCAGCAGGGCTGCATTAATATTGGCTCCTAAGTGTGTTTTCTGTTATGCACATATCTAGATCTCTAATTCGTGGTGATGTTTAAGCATGAAGAATGAGTTGTCAAAGAATTATTTGTGCGACCTGTTAACTCTTCCATTGTTCTCAGATATCACAAGCTACCAGGACTTAACAATGAAAGGACTGTATCTATCGCTTCTGGAGTGGAAAGTCAAGCTGCCAAGAGGCAGAAATTGGATTGTGGGCTCTTACGCAAGGTCCGCAAATTGCTATTTTCTTCTCTGATTTTGCTGATACTTGAAGAAGCTGCTGCTGAATTTGTCTGCATGTACCTCTTATATATATGGCGATAATTGATTGTCATTATCATCTTTTTATGTGTCAGAAATGCATAGTGCTTCTGCAAGAGTGCAATAGAAAAAAGGGTTATGACTGAAATAAAATTGGACCACCACGTGTGTTTTTTTTTTTTTTGGGGGGGGGGGGAGATTTTAATGTTGTCCTAAACTCTGGAAACTTGATAATGACCTTTGACTTGTTAGCATTGGAAATATGAACTGGAAGCTTACATTAAGCTTAGTTAACTTTGACCAACCACTTATGGTACTGCGGAGATCCAAATTGCTTATTGCACCTTTTTATGACAGGTTGCTGATGTGAAGCAGCAAACAAATTTTTTCCACAAGGCACCTAAGACGGTATGATTTTTTTTTTTTTTAAAAACAATTGCTTAAATCTTCCCTTAATAAAAATTGATTGGATGAAATTGAAAAACACCCTCTTCTTATGCATGGTGGTGTTTGTTTCTCATGTCTGCTTTTGAATGTCTTACAATGAGTAGAGGGTTACTGATCAGATATTAAAGAAGGGAATTCCTTGTTGAATATCTGAACACCAAGAGCACATTAAATTCTTCACAGCGAGGTCCACATGATGAGACTATATTTGTATATTCCTGTAGGTTGTAACTGTTGAACAGAATGCTGCACCAGCCAGGCTGAAGCTTACTATTCCATTAGAACCTGAGCTTGAAACGGCACAAAGAGCGCAAAGGATTAGGTCAGACATAGTAAACCTCAGTGAAATCGTGATGACGAAGGTCAATTCTTTTCTTGACTTGGTGGAAATCCTAACATCAACTTATCTTGCAGGCCTAAAAACGCTGCAATGACAGAACATGTGACAGAGGCTGTCCATAGATTCAAAGCACGCCCTTTAAACAGAAAAGTTTGTATTTTCTGTCTATAAAGTTGGTTTTGTTTGGTTATTCTTAGTTTCCATCTCTCTCCTAATTATGTTAATAATTTAGATTCTTGAAGCTCCTTCTTTACCACTTCCCAAAAGGAGCACTCCACGGTTGCCTGAATTTCAAGTAAGCTTCTGATATTTGCTCTCTAGTTCAACAAATTGCGTCACCAGTTGCAACAGTCATAAGAAAGAATTGAATTGAAAGACAGTCAAATCTGAAAAAGCACGTTTCCTCTATTGCATGCATTTTTTAAGCTGGGGCCTCTCTCTTGCTTTTCACAGGAATTTCACCTAAAAACATCAGAGAGGGCCATTCACCACACGTCAGCTAGTTCATCCGCTTCTCTTCAGTGCAATAATTTTGATAAGGTTTAGTTCATTTGATTTTGTGTTAAACCATTTCATGTTATTTCTCACCCTCATGTATTGTGGTTCAGCATTCTCATGCATCAAGTGTGCATGAAAAAAAATTTGTAAATTAGCATAAGATGCGTACTTCTGATGACTAACCTGCATTCAAAACTAAATTCTTTGGTTGCAGGGTATGGACAAACCAAATACAGTTTCTGCTCGCGAAAATAGAATCAAGGACATTAGAAGGTAAGAAATGCCATGATAAATGACCATTTTACTTGATAGTTCATGACATATTGATGTTAGCTTTGTAAAACTGCTGCTTTGCCCAGGCCAAAAGTCACGAGTGCACTAAAGCACGATGTTCTGGAATTTACTCATACTTTTAAAGCTCGGCCTCTTAATAAAAAGGTAATGAGATAATAGCTGGGGAGATGCGTATAAAGCTCTTGCAACGACATGAACTGTGAAATTGCTCTATATTTTCTCTTGGAGGGTAATCGTGATAAGATATTGTCCTCTAGCCGCAGGCCCATAGTCTGCAGCAGCATTAAATTAAATTATATTTTTTCAAAAAAATTAATGTCTGACTGCAGATACTTTCGAGTAAAGGAGATATTGGTGTTTTCTGGAACAGCAAGCAGGAAACCACAGTGCCAGTGGTGAGGGGAAAATGTTTCTGTCTGTCCTTCGTTTCATAATATTTTTTCCGGATGAGTACAATGACATCTTGCTTCAACTCGTACAGGATTTTAATTTTCATACGGAGAAGAGAGTTCAACAGAACCCTCCGATTGATCTCTTCAGCAAGGTGAATATATGTTGTTGTTTGTTTAGTTTTATGCCTTACTTCCCCTGCTTCCTCCCTCCCTGTTAAATTTACTCAATAGCCAGTTATTCAACTTGTTTTGAATTCTAATTCACATACTCAAGTAGTTTGTTTTTTATGAAGATATCTGTATTCCATTATTTTTATACGGTTTCCTTTTTCGAATTGTTAGCTGTCCTTGACATCTGAATTCCAGCCAAATAATAGATCTCAGACAAAACTATCTCCGCATTCCAACATGTTCAGAGGGGTATAACTTCTATAATTTTAAAGTGAATGCGATGGTCTTGGATGATTTATCATATACCTGAGGATCATACTGAGTTGGTTGTTTCTTGGTGCAAGGATTCAAAAGAAAATATATTAAGTTCTGTTCATCATGTGCGAAAGGTAACAATGAGATGCCTAAAGATGACTTGTTGGATTTGCTTTTTAAATCTGTCTAATTATTTCGATCTTTCAATTTTAAACCCTATATCTCTGTTCATTATTTCACATCAAAATTATCAATTTTTTCTGTAGCTGACACAAATCTTGTAGGAAAAGCACCCCATATTTGGTGGAAGGCAAAACCAATGTGGAAATAACGACTGCAGCAGCGAAGCTAGTACAATGTTTGGTGCCAGGAGGTATACGTTATTGATGCCAGTTGTATCATTTCAATTTCTCTCCGTGCATTGCATGGGGGCTTTGATTCATAAGAAAACATTATATGTGGAATCAGCTGTAAGAATTTTCTTTTCTGTCTTCATAATCGTTGATCTCGAGCTCTTTCCAATTGTAATGTTCCAGGAGCTTGGGCATCCGATGAAAACAAACAAAAGCAATGCAAAACAAGCTTCTCTTATGGGGATCAGATTCGAATTTTTGCTGTTGATATGGAAGTTCGATGAGTACATAGTTGAATCTGAACATCGCGTAAAAATTCTTCTCAGACGAAAGATAGTTCTACTGTATAGAAGTATTGGTACAAAAAGCAAAAAAGAATACTTCAGCTCAGAAGAAATCAACACACCATGATTATCTTCATCACTTGTATCATGAACGACTGCCCTTTGATCTTAAATCAATAAAAACATTAGAAGGCCAGAGTTGTATAGCCTCTAAGCCTATCATTATCTTTCACATTTTAGCATCGACTCGTACAACATGCTAATTTCCTCAAATTCTAGAGCAGTTAACCATTTTTCTTGTTCATTCTGTATTCGCATACTTAATTTCGCATGTAACGGAGAACAAAAGGCCACCTCATCTCCCTCACACCAGCCAGTGCCGTTAATTTACCAGAAAAAGCATGAAACGCTGATCATGGAGAAGACTATATTAAATAGCTGAAGATTGTCTGATATAAATAACCGAGCCTAGGTAAACAATTTTACAGCCTACCACTTAAATACAGGTCTCTCGAGCGTAAAGGTTGGAATTATAATCCTGGGAAATTATCGAAATAGGTTGTCTGGCTTTCTTAAGCACGGAATTGAGTCTCATTATTAATTATTCTTGGGCAGTGTCCTTGTTCACAGAGTTGTTCTTGGTGAGAGCTCTCTTGGTCCAACGCTTTATGTCATAGGCCTTCTTCAAAGGCTTCTTCTCCCTACCCTGTCTTCTCTTGGTTATGGCAATGGCAAGATCGTTCGGAAACAACGTATGCCAGACGAAGGCATGAAGAAGAGTGGACACGAACAAAACAGACACCATCGTCGAAGACATGAACGAAAGCCCCAGCGCAAGGCCCTTGCTTATTACCGACGGCACCTGCTCTGCATACTTTATAGTCGCCACTGACGCTGTCGTCATGGGAAACGTATACGACCACCACGCCACTGAAAATCTGTCAATTACAAGATTATTTGTTATCAAATCACAACCTTTATAGGAATGTCTCCAAGACAAAAATTAATTGATGAAGGGACAGGTGAGAAACCTAGAGAAACATCGTACCTGAAACCGGTGAAGAAATTGATGCGCACCACAAGTGAACTATAGAGAAACAAAGCGATGAAGAAGCAAGTTCTGGATAGGCCATCAAATTCACCGTAAATGTTTTCCCAAGCAAGACTGGCAGCGGAGGGAGCTGCAATAAACATGGAGTACACAGGGTGGAGCTCCTTTGGGAGAGCCTCGCTAGTTGGCAATCTCTGATATAAAGTCACAAACAACACCAGATAATGTGCGAATCCAACAGCCCACAAGAATTTGGCAGGCTCCTTCCAACCTACTTTCGAAGCTAAAATTGCCCCAACAAAATTTCCCACCACAGAGAGATGAGAAGAAGGATTTGCCACCTTACAGAGTCGTCTTTTACCCCCAGAAAGCCACTGCCCATAGATTTTGAGTTCCAGGAGGAAATATGGTGCCATGAAAACACACCAAATGGCGGGGTGAAGTGTTCCAGGAGCAATTTTTGGAGGTGCACCGATGGCTAAGAACATGCAGACAACCCAAGGGGCAAAGAAGAAGTTGACTCGAACTGGATGGAAATATTCTCTTTTGACCGCTTCGAAGTAGAATATGCATTTGAGAATGTAGGTGATGGTGACAGAGACTAGAACTGCTAGGGCCAATAACCAGAGGCCGAAGTTTATGAATGGGGTGATATGGAGGAACTTGGTGGCTGGGCTTGTTGCAAGGGCCCGCCACAGAACCACTTGGCTACTTAGGCCAAGACAGATACCAAAGCATCCTATTGGAAACCGCAGAAGAAATGGCCATTTCTCATCTTTGGGCAGAAGAATGTCCTCTGATTCCTGTTAAAACCGTTCATTAGCAGTCATACTCTATAATTATGAGTGATCCTGATAATCCTCTGTGTGTGTGTGTGTGTGTGTGTGTCTTGCTCTTACAAGTTGTTCGATCAACAACTTGAATGATCAACTACTGTTAGATTGAGAATATTAGTGAAGGCGAGCGGAACAGAGGAAGTGTTTCGGAGAATGAGACTTACCGCATGCTAATGAGGTTTATATTTTAACAGATAAGCATTTTTCAGTTAAAATTCAAGATTCAATTCGGGGATGATTTATAATTAGATTACGTAGTTTTTGCCAAAAAAAACCTAAAGAAGGTTACGTTATATAAACAACGTATGCAACAGAGGTGAATTTATTACCTTGACTTCGTCTAACTCAGGTCCACGAAGAGCTGCAAAGTATCTACCAGCGGGAACGCTTCTGTTGACAGATTCATCAATGCCATTGGAGCCATCACTTCTGTGAGACTCCAGCTCCTTCTCCTTCTTTGAGGGCAACAGAGAATTCTGCTTACTCAGAGTGGATTTGGTCTTGAAGATACTGAAGTCTCCTTTGCGCCCTCCTTCCAAACCAATCCTGTTGGCCGAATCGAACCCTCCGAAACTTCTCCCACTTCTCGGCAGAGCCTTCCTGTCATCCTTAGCCTTTGATTCTTTGTTCAGCATAGAGAATCCAGTCTCAAGCGAAAGCTGCCTGCCAAAACTTTTCTGGGGCCTCTTCGCCTCCCTAACTCTGATGGGTCTATTCATTTTCTTTTCCACGTTATTATCGCTATCCTCCATTTTAATTATCCTCTCTTCGTCTTCTTCTGGTAAAGCTTCATGTATATCCACAAAATGAGTCTGCAGAATTGTCTGTTTCTTGTCCATTTTCTTGCGCCGATAACCTAACAAAACAAGCTCAAGTACAAATCTTAAGCTGAAGATTACGCGAGAGTCACTGTAAGTTGGGTGTGGTATTTATACATAAGTGAGGTGTGGAGGAGGAGGGATCACGAGAAATGAGTAAAAAAGGAAGCATCTTTTGGTGATGGTTCGGCAGGCGAAATGGAAGCCAGTGCTTTGTGAGAAAAGATAGCGTCGAGATATGGAGTTCCCGTGAGGGAACTTCCCTAGAGTTTGTGGCTTTGCAGGGTAACAGCATGGTTAGGGGTTGAGAGCAACTTGAACGTAGCATTCATACTTCACACAACATCAATGGAATAGAGTTTTCAACACGACACGGGGATTCAGCCGTATGATTTTAACTAACGAGAAGGAGCCTGTGCCCACTTGCCTATGCCTAAGCAGTTCGGGAACTCTTATTACCTTCTTAAAAAGGCAAGAACTGCCAAGTCCTTGGTTTATTTGACAAAGGCTTGCGCCGGTTTAATTAGAGATCTCTAATTTGAATTATCAGAATGCGATAATGACAAATATTTAGTGGCAGAGCTTGTCACAAAAAAGGGTCATGGTGGGCTTGATCCCATTACGCTTGTGATATCAATGCAAATGAAAGGAAGCCGGGAGAGGAAGGACTTTGTTAACTTGTTTAGTCTTTCCCTTTTAGGAGGGAGAAGACTTTTCTCCCAATCTAAATCATACTGGTAGTTTATTTTGAGTTATTAACATGGAATAGCCGTTCCCTAATTGTCTATGCAATTTGAGAGCTCTGTTAGCCTCTTCGGTCAAAAAAAGAAGGGGGGGGGGGGGACCATCCACCACTTGGTTCAATGGATAAGGGTCATATACCAGCTTGAAAGGATTCTTTAGCCCCGGAAACAATGCTTGTTTTGGTCTTACCCCTTTTGGAAGGAAGACCCTATTCCCACTCCAAGTCCTACGACCAGTGTATTTTTGGTTATATTCACTTATTTCATATTATTGTTGTATGTGAATGGCTTATTACTGGGCGTTTAGCCTCTTGAACTTTTTTGAAGATAAGGTCACGACCGAAGCCATACAAAAGACGATGGAACTATTTCATATTGGAGCTTCTACACCAAAGAAATGGATGATGTAAAATCGTTATGTTTAGGAAACTTCTATGTTCGTCTTACGTTAATAACTTCTAGATTGGTAATGAAAGGGATGTCCTTCTCAAGATCATTGTCATCTAGTAGACGCGATCGTTAAATCTTTTGACGAGTTATTCTTCCAATATTGGCATATCCTAAACTTTATTTTAAGGCATTCTTACTGCGGAGACACAGCGAAAATAAGAATTTGTGGCTAATTTCTTGGCCGTTTTAGTCTGTTAGCGATGTTACAAAATCCATTGTCAAGAATGAGAAATGTTGGAAACTTGGTTGTGGCTAATTTTGCAGAGTGTTACTTACTTATCATGCGATAAATTGGAGATTAAAATTTGATGTAGCTTTGGGGGCAGAGAATTATAATGGAAGCCTGAATCCTGAAGAAATCGGCCGAGTCACCCATCCAAAGTTGCTGGAATGACTGGAAAGGCAAGAAACCAGAATCGGACATGGTAAAGTAGTTTTGTGCATTTCCCTAATTCCCTCCAACCCAACGCTATAACAGTAATTTTGCTGTTTCAGGAACCATCTTTCATCATTAAGTTGATGAAAGAGACTACATTTTTCCACTCGAAGAAGGTGGCTATTCATTTTAAATACAAGAAAAGAACATTAATACATCGAAATAAAAGCAACCCAGCATCAAGTGAGGCCTTGCCATTCAGGCTGGGCTTCCTTTGATTTGACCTTCGTGCTCGTTACATTCACATTGCAGTTTTTAACCCTTTTAATTAAGGGAAAAGTGACGCTTTCAAACCTTGTAAGGCAGATAATATTACCTGTGACGACTGGTCCGTGGAGCTTCACCATGCCAGCATGCGTGCAGTGATACACAATTAAATGTGCTGACACAGAAAGCATACAATGATTCTTTTGCAATTCTTCTCGTAATGTAGCAAATAGCTGCTTCGGAATGTTCCTAAAAGACAACAGGTTCGCTAGGTGCTTGCGTTACCTAGGACTTGGTCCTTGTTTATGTAACTCAAGCTTTGCTTCTCCTTGTTTGGAAAAAAAAACAAACACAAAGACCAATGAGGCTTGAGTCCAGTAGAACTGTGGAAGTCTGACTCCCAAATAGGATTGATTGTCTCTAATAAGAAAATATCTATACACGTAACCAAAAAAATAAGAAATAATATTGCCTCCTATTCTTTTTTATAAGTTATAAAGAATTGAATTGTGTAAATAGAGAAATCAATTAACGTTGATTAAATACAATAAATGTGAAAGAATGTAGTTTTATGAAAAAAGAAGTGAGAAAGAAGATGAAAATGAACGCATAAAAAATGCAAATATAATTAAGAATAAAAATAAAAAATAAATTAAATGTTTTTTTTGCGAACAAGAACATTAAATGTTTAAACATTTTCAAAATAAAACTTATAAAAAATAACCAAACTCATTTAAAATACCATAGCTTATAAAAAGTATGGGAGACCGTTTTCAATTGGGCTTCCATAATCTTCCACTAGCATTTCATTATTTCCAAGCTGACGTCCTTGCCACTTTTCTTGTAAGGTTCTAAAATGTCATTTTTCCTTTTTATTACTATTAATCACATTCATTGGTCAGCTGCTTTTACGAAATGGTCAATTGAAATGAAAGTATACATTCACCTTTCTTTTTGTCATAAATAGAATAAATTTTCTTATCTTATGCTAAAATTTTTCTCGTCAACTTGATAAAGATTAACACATTCAACCTCCAAACACCACCTCAGCTTTGGGTTGGGTAGGTTCCCTACCTTTTTAGCATTTGACTGTTGAAAATGATGATCAATTCAAACAAGAGTGAGGTTCTACTCCAACTCCACCAGAAAGCCTAACGGCTTTTTATTTTTCCTCCAAAATTTTAAAAACAATGAACAGCCTTGACGCAGATAGTATGCGACTAACGCAAGGAAATCTCAATAGATTGGGTCAAACACACCTGAAGAAGGATTGGGCGGATCAGTAGAAACTGGCGAGGATTAGAACCATTCACATTTGGCAACACATCGTAATCTTTGCCAAAATGATATGACTTCTATGTGCCATTTTCTCATACTTGAAATGCAAGTAAAAGAAAGGACAATGACCTCACCGTGTACTTGTTCCAACTGTCGGTAAACAAGCATGCTAAATGTTGTCTAGTTGATAAAATATCATATAAAATCAATATATTCTCTTAACTTCAGATCTCTTGACTTCAGGATAATCATTTTTTTCCCCAATAATCAGGTCAATTCCATCACAAAAACATTGAACCAGAATGGCAAAGAGTGAAGGCGAGATTCATTCTAGCTAATCCGGCTAATAATATATTCAAACACAACGTCAATTGATTCCACCTCCATGTCTGGGCTTTTCAACAGAACAAACATTACAATTTTCTTACGGTTAACAGTAGGACCCTTTCAAGCAAAACTGATTCATGCATTTACACTAAGTTGATCATTACCGATGGTTCCTCAGGTACTGGCATAGTCGGACTTTTTTAGCTTTGGTTCGCAAGACCAGAAACTGATCACCAAGCTTAGTTTTGTCATGTGCTACTCTGTACATACAAATACTATACAAGAACAAAACAACAAGCTTACTGGAAAGTAGCCTTAGCAATAGGTCCCCTGCACTGGCCACTTGAGGCCTTGCCGAAATTTGATCAATTATCTAACGTTAACCAGGCTATATTTTCTACAAGCGATTTTGGGGTTTCATCAAAATCACCAAGCCTCCCTTTCCCGTCATAATGATCTTGTCTTTATAAGGACAATCACAGCTCAGTGTCTAATAAAGGAATGACCACAGCAAGACTTTAGAAGCATACAAGTGATAATTTGATAAATTGCAATGAAGGCTGTTTGATTAAATAACATTGCAAAACCAACTGCACGCTTGTGAACGAGCCAAACCAAAATACTAAGAAAATAGACACACAAAACTCCAAAGTGTAGAATAACCAAAGGACAAAAATAGAATCAAAGATAGACAAAATGAAGTGAAGGGAAATTTTCCTCCCTCATACATTTAAGTTTTTTTGTCTTTGAATCCTTTATGTGTGTGTTGCCAATGGATAACAAGCATAGTACAACGTTACAAAGGCGAAGAGAGACAGAATTTGGGTTCTCTTCACCACCTTTACCAAGAACATTAAACCGCGACAAATATAGAGAATAAGAGCATCATTCTATGCCTCTCTCCTTCCCTCCTATACAGTCCAATTGCCGTAATTTGATCCAATTCCCCCTATCTTTCACAGAAATCGAATTAAAACAAAGGTAACTTGTGCAATAAAAAAGAAGAAATAAGCTCACCGTGTTTATGCAAATAAACAAAAGAATGTTGAGAATTATTGTCAATGAGTGGTAGCTTTGGATCTCTTCTTTGCCTCACTGTAAAGCACCACACCCATGATGGTAATGGCGAATCCCGTCATTCCCATTACTGTGACAGGATTCCTGAATATCAAAACGGAAACAACAGCCGCCACAGCTGCCTTGGCATTTCCCAGAACTTGCAGCGTCAACGCACTGGTGTGTTTTGTCACCAGAAAATTCGTCAGATTCACCAGATAAGCCACAGTTGCATTCCCAACCAACAAGAACACGATGAACGGATCACTTCTAGCCTTTTCAAGCGTAACGGCCGCCACATTTCCTTCAATGTAAAGAGTGAAGGGAAGCAATATCAGGGCTGCCAATGGAGCCATGTACAAAAGCAAATTCATGGAGTGAAGTTTCTCTGCCTCAGAGGTCAACAAAATGCCCTGAACCACAGATTTCAGGGCACGCCCAGCAGTGGAACCAACACACACTAAGAACCCAAATAAATGAAACAAAGGTTCGCTATTACTGGCCAAAACAATCCCAAAAACTACGGGCAAGAGGGCCAAGTAAACCCCACCAGATTCTTTCTTGCAAGTAATCAGGAAGGCGAATATTGCAGTAAAGAAAGGAGTAGTGGCACCAATTGCTTGGTTAAAAGAAACCGGAAGGTACCTCAACGACGTATTGCCACAGACAACAGAGAAGCAAAAAATGGCGCTCAAAGCAAAGATCTTGAGAAATTGTTTCTTGGAGTGGATTTGTTGGAGAGGAACGAGTTCAAGGAAATTAATGGCAAGATAGCTGTAAGCGGCGCAAGATAGCATGTGAAGCATTGTGAGGAAGATGGGGTAACGATAGCCATAGAAGCTGAGCAGGTACTTGTTGAGAAGGAGAACACCGATGTTAGAGAGGTACCAAGAAGCAATGATGAGGGCAGTGCATAGACTGGGGGAGAGGCGGGATCCGAAGCTGTAAGCGTTGTTCCGAACATCTCCAGGCGGGGTGGCTGGAATGTCGAGGACTTTGTCAGTCGCCGCCGTGTCCAGCAACCTGGGATTGCTCATTCTCCTCGTAGTCCATGTCTGTGCCTCCACCATCGCCAATGGACGATAAGAGAAACCAAACAACCCCGACTTTCTCTCCCTGAAAATCACAAGCACGAGAATCAGGGCGGAGAGAGAGAAGGGTGGGGATGGTCAGATCTGAAACGCAGAGAGCTGAGAGAGGAGTGGTGGAGAAGGAGAGAAATAAATAATATACAAATAAAGGAAGGAGGAATAAAGAAGGCGGATGCGATCCAAGGGTGAGGCTTTGGAATTTGCGTAGATGAGCGAATTAAACAAAATCAAATAATTTTAAAAAGAACACACAGAATGGGACCATCGTCAAAGGGAGAGGCTCCAAGGTGCGGAAAGAGCTTCGTGTCGGTGTGCTCCAATGAGCAAATCTTAATTGTGTATTGCTCCTAACGGGGCATTAGTAGCAGTATTACACTTTTGTTGCACATTACCATGTTGACCAGACGACCCCCGCTTGTTGTACAAACTTCAATTTACCCCAGCGTCTGTCATATTTTTTTCATTATTGTTCTCACACCCAGACACAGTCCACCACCTTTGACTTTGTCAGTCTTTCTTGTTAGCTGCATTGTCTTTCTCTTACAATGAGGTCCCCAGATCTACGGTATGAGATCTAAAAGAGAATATATAATGAACAAGCGTTGCTCCCCCGTCAGCGTGAGTTTTCTTGTAAACACAGGAAAGGAAATCGGAGGGACATATTATGTAACACACCTCCGATCTTAATTATAAGACCCAGTTGATTAATTTGAAAAGATTAAAGAAAGAAGTTAAGTTAGTTATTTGTAATAAATATGTGTTATCTTTCTTAAAATATATTTACTAATCAACTGTATTGGTTAGACCTATAATTATTAGAAGGATTATCTTGAAAAAAATGTATAAACATAAGAAACAAAATAGATTGAAATCTTATATTTATAACCAAAATAAAAATCAAATAGAATTTTATATTAAAGACCGGAGCTAGTATATTTTCCTCCCCGGGTTTGGATGGACTCATTCGTCTCGCGTTCGGTTTCGTATTACAATCATAGCTGTTAGATGCGTTTCTTTGGATCTTATTCATGTTTAGTCACCAACAGTCAGCTGTCAGCCAGCTAGTCAGGCCCTGTTCTGTTGATCTCACCTGGGCCCAATTGATCATGGCCATCAAACACAAGGCCCAAATTTTAATTTAAATGCAATCCATCATTTTCCGAAGAAGGCCCCTTAAGCAGTTACAACGCACAATAGAATGAAGAAAGAATGAAATAACCAACAAGTGTTGGTTCAAATAAAAAAGACTTAGACACCTTAAATATTATATCCTGGATTTAATTCTTAGGATGACATGTATGGAATAAACACTGTTTGGAGGGGTTTCTCATCGTTCGGGTAGGAGGATACTTTAGGCAACCTAAAAAAAAATGAAATAAGAACGTAATAAGTAATAACATGGAAATTGTTCCCGTCAAGTAATTATTAAACGAATATAATGGACATGATAAATATTTTTGGCTAAAAACATCATGAATATGTGTATATCGATTTTCATGTAATAGAATAGATTTTCCTCAACAACCCAATTGTTTTTTTTTTTTAATTTGATCCTGTTAATCTATAATAGAGATAGTAATAGATAAATTCATATATATATATATATATATATATGTATATATCACTTCGGAACCTCTTCCCTTGCCTCTTCATCCTTTTCCCTCATCTTTGTTTTTTAAACCCTTAGATTGATGAAATACCTACATTATTGTCACCATTGTTTCATGCTCTTATGCACACTCTCCATGAACCTAACCAACATTTGATTCCAAGAACGCCATTTATTTATTATTTACAATCCATCACTACTGTTCCAATCTCTCAGGGAAGTCAACACGTTTCAGAGGCACAACACAGAGATGCGATGCTGTGCTAATTCCTTAAGCTAACAGGAACGGCTCGCAGGGGTTGAGCCTTTTCCATGGCTATGCCAAATTTATCTTCCATATCCATATCCTCAGGGACCATGCCATCTTCAAGCTTCCAGTCAAACGAGTTAATAAGCGAGCCCAAGATAAGAACCAGCATCTTCATCGCCAAGGCCAACCCAGGACATATTCGACGCCCTGCACCAAATGGTATCAGCTCAAAGTGTCGACCTTTGACGTCAATTTCCGATCCCAGAAATCTCTCAGCCCTGAATACATTCGGTTCGTCCCATATGCTCGGATCCCTCCCAATAGCCCAAATATTCACCAAAACTTGTGCCCCCTTTGGGATAACATACCCACATATTTCTACGTCTACGTCTGCTCTCCGAGGCAGTAGAAATGGAACTACAGGGTGTAAGCGAAAGCTCTCCTTCAGTACTGATTGTAAGTATGGGAGTCTATCCATGTCACTTTCCTCTACCAGGTTTCCTTTGCCTACTGTATTCCCTAGCTCTGCTTTTGCTTTTGACATAGCTTCTGGGTTTCTCACTAACTCCGTCATTGCCCATTCCAATGTAGATGTAGTTGTATCTGACCCTGCGAGAAAGAGATCCTGCGCCCAGAACCGAATTTACTAGTGGAAAATATGTCTCATATTCTAATGAACAATAACAATAACAATAACAATCAACAAGCATAATGATATGCAAGTTACTTCGATTCTAGCTAAAGGGTGACATACCATTAACAAACGTTCGATCATGGTATCGTTTAGTTGGCGGCTGTTTTCCTCAGAAATGCGGAGGAGGCCATCCAACATGTCTCTGTCGGCGCCATAAGTTGTTTCTTGTCTCATCTGTAACCTATGTTTAACCAGGCCATGAGTTATCTTCAACATCTTCCCAAAGTGAACATCCACACGTCTTTTGATGCCCAGTGGGTCCGCCAACTTCAAAACAGGAAAATAATCTGCCAAGTTTGGTCTTCCAACATCTTCCATGACGTCCGACTCTAACTCTTTGAACTCGTTCACTGTATTGAAGTGAACCAAATCCAGAGAACAAATAGAGTTTGACAACATATTTACTATAGTCATGAAAGCAGATCTTCCGATCTCCATTGCTTCACCGGTTAGGCTGCTCTGATAAATACGAGCGAGAAACTCCTGCATTTTCTCGCGCCTACGTTTCTGAGTGGTATCAAGAATCTTACCGGAGAACAACAGATTATTACATATTTTCCTCAGGAATCGCCAACGAGGCGTAGTGGCCATGAAAGGCAAACTGAACTCATGGTGATTTTGACCCGTCATGGCATGCGGAACACTACGGTTGGACAAGAGGTGATCGCGGGTCTGCAAGACTTGTTTGGCCATTTCTACGGAAGAAACGATAATGGTGGTCATCTGGCCGAGTTTCAAGCTCATGATAGGGCCATGAATCTCTGCAAGTTTGGACAAGGACTTGTGTGGCTGTTTGCCCAGTTGGAGGATGTTTCCGATGATCGGCAAAGGAGTAGGACCTGGCGGAAGCCTGCACTTGGCTCTCTTATTGTTTCTCTCAGGACGAAGGGCTTGAGCCATGGTGAAGGAAAGTACTACTAGCAGTAGGATTAAGATGACATACACTAAATCCATCTTCTTTTACAGACACAGGGGCCCCTGAACTCGGGGGAGTAAGGGTCTCCTTTTATCTATGGTTGCAGTAGCTTTCTAATTGACGTGTGTCTCCCCATTAATTTTCCTTTCGGTTGTGAAATTAAGGCATTAAATTGGCATTTGCACACCTTTCCATAATTCATTTATTATGCATTCATGGCTTTCTCATTGACCGGAGGTTAAGTATTGAAAAAACAAATTTTTAAAAGAAGGTCAAAAGCAAAGTCTCGTTGTCATATTCGAGCGGGAAAGGTGTTTACAAGAGAGCAAAAAGGCTTACACACCAATTCTATTTATAACATAAAGCTTTAAGTTTTTTTTCAAAAGGAGAACTAATTTTTATATTCTTTTTGGTCCTAATTAATTATAGTTACTATAAACGTTGCTGCTCAAAGTTTATTTTCATTTTGATTTTGATTCTTTAAGTTTCAAATCATCGATTTTAATTCCTTAAATTTTTTTTCCATTTAAAACATTTTTGAATTATTTTGCCTCTTGAAAGACTAAAACATATGATTTGAAACTTGATCGAGAGACTAAAACTAAAATAAGGATAAGTTTGATGGACTAAGGCTTTGTTTGGTTCAATGGAGGGAAGGGGAGGGAAGATGAATTGAGGGGAGGGGACAGGAAGAGAGGAAAGGTTATGAGTTTTGTTTGGTTGGAGGGGAAGAGAGTATATGGGAGATTTCTTATCTGGTTTAGGAACGAAAGGGATGGGAGCTAATTTTAAGTTAACAAATATATCCTTATCTTTTTATTTAAACTTCTTTATTATTTTATTATGATATTTATATCATAATTATTATTTTCTAATTTGTGAATATAAAAAAACCAGATATCTTAAGACATAACAAATAGATTATAAATAATCATATATCAAAATACGTGTCAATCAAAAAAAAGATATTATAATCTTTAGCATATTATATAAATTGTAAATAAATTTATCCTACAAGTTTTAAACTATTCCATCCTTAATTATATAATGTGCTCAACCTCACATGCTTAAATCGATAATACACAGAGTTTTGTGTAAAAAATAAAATTGAACTAAAATAGGTATATATGGACACACATATCAACAAATTTGGTGATTGATAATATCATTTTAATAGATTTCAACGACTTCAACTCATACAAACCAATCAAAAATAGTTTTATACAGAATAAATGAATAAAAAATACTAATAATAATGATAAGATGAATGAGGTGGGGGATCAGGCAAGGGGACAAGATGGGAAAGATTAATGGTAAAGAGCATGGAAAATGATAATATCAAAGAAAGAAAATATGCACAAAAAAAAAAAAGAATCTTTGAGGAGTAAAAAAAAATCCATAGAAGAATAGTAAGGGCTGAAAAAAAAAAAAGCAAAGAGTGAAAAAAATTTTTACTAAAAAGAAGAAACTTGAAATATTCAAAAGGGAAAATCCCAGAAAAAGCCCTTGGAATATACCAAATCCCAGATTGGGCCCTTAAATTTCGAAAATGACAGAATGGGTCATTGACCCAATTTGTCATTTGTGAAATTCAAGCGAATTGACATTTTTGCCCTTGAGCAAAAGTGAGTAGTTATTCTCTAAATAAATCTAGGTAACGCTTATACTGTTCTAGTGATTACAAGATTCGTTGTAGTTAATAATAAAGTACTTGACAATAATAAGATACCTGACTATGAAAAAATGAGTAGTTATTCTTTACACAAATCTAGGTAATGCTTACATTGTTCTAGTGATTACAGCATTAGTTGTAGTTAATAACAAGACACCTGATTATGAAAAAGTGAATAGTTATTCGCTATACGAATCTAGGTAACACCTAAACCCTTATAGTGATTCCTTGAATCATTGTAGTGAATGAATAAATGAGGGTAAAATTGTCAATTCGCCTGAATTTCACAAATGACAGATTGGGTCAATGACCCATTCTGTCATTTTTGAAATTTAAGGACCCAATCTGGCATTTCTCATATTCCAAGGACCTTTTTTGGGATTTTCCCTATTCAAAAACTAATATGAGTAATTTAGTCAGGATGAGAGATAATATTTCTCTCCTCTTAAAAAAATCCCAAATTTAAAGGGGAGGGAAGGGAAGCATTAAAGATAAAAAAATTTCCCTCCCTTTCCCTCCATTTTTCTGAACTAAACACAATTTTTTCTCCTCTCCCCTCTCCCCAAAAACCTTCCATCCAAACAAAACCTAAAGGTTATTTTAACCCCTAATTATAAGTGACTTATAACATGTTTTATAAGAATTAAGAATAATATTAAACATCATTAATTTCATCTTAAATAAAAACTTTCAAATTTTATCATTATTTAATATATATATATATATATATATATATATAATCAAAGTAACAATCTACATACCATTCTAGTCCTTATTATTTATTACTTGTAGAAGTTTTTTGCATACCAATGAAAGTATCAAATAGATGAAATATGTAACTTTCACCCTTATTAAATACTAATATCTTTCTCTCACTCGTTTCTTCTCTCTTCACCTTTACTTTAACTTAAAAATGAAATACTGAAAAGGACACCAATAACAAATAAAAAGGATCAAAACTTCTTTGTAAGTGAAAATAATAATGAGAATAGTGGCAATAATAAACGAAGAGTAAAAATATATCATAAAAAATGAAGAGTGAAAATAATATATTTATGTTAAAAATTTAATAAAATAACTTATAAATAAGATTAAAAAATTTACTCTTCCTCATAAATAGAGCCAGGAGTAAACTTGTAAAAGCATGCATGGCTTAATAATGTTGCCATTCACTGAAATTAATGATTACCATAAGGTGTCTCTGGGAATAAAAAAAATGCCAACAATTTGATGTAACTAAGGGGGTAATCTTGAGGAAAATTAAATGTCTCATCTCTATATCATATTTAGTGCCAAATAAAAATTTAAAACTTTGTTCTATAATAAGAATGAAAAGAGTACATTCACAGAACAAAAACAATAAAGAGAGTATACACCTTCCATTATTTTTAAAAAGGAGAGATTAGTTGGCAAAAATTTTTTATTGTTTTCTGCTTCTCATGAGAAAGATCCAGTTTTCATATCCTCTACTTCCCTTCTCTTTTTCATCCTCACTATTAAATCAACTTTAAATAGTTGAGATTTAATATCTTATATAAAATATTTTAATAGAAATATAAAGATGTGAACTATTTACATCAAATTTTAATAATTTCAATTTACTTATATACATTTTTTGGTAATTAATATTTAAATAATATTATTAAAGTTGATCTAACGGTGAAGATAATAATGAGATCAAAGAAAGTGGAGAGATTCAGCTTTGTTCCCTTCTCATGGCTTCCAACATTGATAGCAAAAAGTTAATACACCTTGCTCCCCAACTTTTCTGAAGGATTGACATGAAGAGTCTATTCCTGAAAAGTACGCCAAAACAGATGTGTGATATTGTAAATAATATTCGACTTAAGTCATTTTTTTACATATATTTAGTATGTATAGATATTACATTAGAATAGATTTAAAAATAATTCATTTGGATTAAGTCAATTTAAAGATAAAGTAAGAAATCCAAAAATATGAACGGATCAAAAGTCAGACGAAGGTTGCGAGAACGTACCTGCAATAAGATACTTGAGTTGAAAAAGATATGTAAACCCGAAAAAGATAACATTCAACCATATGGTTTCACTACACGAACTCTCTCCATCGATCTTTGACTGGTTGGTGCCATCCGCTCGCGCTGTAAAATTGTACTGCATTATCCAATCCATTCCCGAACGACATATTCATTGGTTCCCTTAGAATATATCTCCAAAGATGGTTTATAAACACTTCCTTTTTTTGTGGCCAATAACACATCCATATATCTATCTCCCAATATGGCAGGCCAATCCGGATGTCTTTTCGATCAGTGACGGCGCTTGTTGGCTCTATACGGAACCACGAGCACCGGCTGAGCCTTCTCCAAGGTAATTCCAAATTTATCATCCATGTCCATGTCCTCCGGCTTTGTCCCACCTTCCATCTTCCAGTCAAAACAATTTATCAGAGAACCCAACACCAGGAACACCATTCTCAGAGCCAGAGGGTAGCCCGGACAAACCCTCCGGCCAGCACCAAACGGAATCAGCTCAAAATCCCGGCCTTTGACGTCGATATCTGAGCCCAAAAACCTCTCCGGCGAAAACTCTTCTGGATTTTTCCATATGCTCTGATCTCTTCCTATGGCCCAAACATTTACCAGAACTTGTGCACCCTTTGGGATTGTGTATCCCCCCAGTTCCACATCCATCTCTGCTTTCCTGGGCAGTAAAAATGGAGCCGCAGGATGCAATCGTAACGTCTCTTTCACTACTGCTTGCAAGTAAGGCAGTCTCGCTTCGTCTGACTCCTCCACTGGTTTTCCTTTCCCGATGGTTTCCTCCAGCTCTGCTTTTGCTTTCGACATTGCCTCTGGGTTCCGGAGCAGCTCAGCCATTCCCCATTCCAGCGTAGATGATGTTGTATCACTCCCAGCCACAAATAAGTCCTACATAAACATATGTGGTTATTACTGCGATCTGCCATAACGAAACCATATTAATTGTCAACATACTAATTATTTTCTTTGTGTGCGTGTAGATAGTACCAGTGATAAGCGTTGGATCATCTCTCCATCCATCTCCTGCCTGTTCTCTTCAGAAAGCAGGGCGTCCAATATGTCATTGTTGGCGAGTGAACCTGTTGTTTCTCGGAGCTTCAAGCGTTGAGTAACCAAGAGGTGGAAGACGTCGAGCATCTTGCGGACGTGAATGGTGGTGCGACTTCTGACCCCCAGTGGGTCAATCTTCTTGAGTATCGGAAAATAATCGGCTACGTTGGGTCTTCCAATCTCTTTCAAGATATTGACCACTGTCTCCTTGAACTCCCCAGTTTTATCTACAGACTCAACCAAATCTACGGAGAATACACTATTAGACAACAAGTTGATTGAGGTTTTGAAAGCCGCTTTTCCGATGTCCACGGCCTCACCGACCTCACTGCTTTGATGGACCTGCTTGATGAGTTGTTGCACCTTGCTACGCCTGAGATCTTGGCTCGCATCTAGAGCCTTGTTGCCGAATAACTGATTGTTGCATAGCTTCCTTAACGCTCGCCAACGGGGGGACACGGGAAGAAAGGACAAACTATATTCATGGTGGTTGAGAGCTGTCACGGCGTCAGGAACGGTTCGATTTGACAAGAACCGGTCATGGGTTAGAAGTACCCCCTTGGCCATGTCGACGGAAGTAACGACTATGGTGGTGACCCGGCCGAGCTGTAAGCTCATGATTGGGCCGTAAATATTGGCTAGCTTGGCCAAACTCTTGTGGGGCTTGTGCCCTAATTCAAGGAGGTTTCCGATTATGGGAAAAGGAGTAGGACCTGGAGGAAGCTTGCGGTTTCTTCTGTTGCTTCTTCCATTCGGCAAACGCAGAAATTGAACGAAGATGCAGATGACGAAGATGAGCAAAAGCATATAACTCAGGAAATCCATTTCTCTGAGAGACTCTGGCTACGCGCAGCTCGTGACTCGTGAGAAAGGATAGCATTCCCCAACTGCCACTCATTTAGCGAGACTGAATAATTAATAATATATGCATTAAAGACGTGGCCCAAAATCTCAAAATATCTTAGACAAAATGTCCCAATGATGAAATGGACGTATACCAAATTTAGGCTTTATCTCTTGGCTAGTAAGGCATGTTTTGTTGATTTTTATTCTGATCTAAAAACGGATACTCGTGTTTTGAGATTGAGTTTCTCTCATTAACTCTTCCTGACCAAAATTGGTATCATAAATGACTGCTCCTTGGCGAAGGAGAAAAGATCATTGAAGTGTTTTCAAGGGCTCGAGCAAGACCTCTTGGAGTAGATGCATTTAATTTGGATGTGAGCGAGCAATAAAATTAAAAGTATTACCAAAATTTATGAACATTTTAAAGTCAATATTGACTTTAAAAGCTAGGAAAAGTGTGTGTATATATATATGTGATAAATTTTAAGTTCATATAAGATTTCAGTTTTGTCTTCTAACTTTAAAATATATATTTTTAGTCTTTTTTATCTTAAAATTATTATTCTTAAATAATGATTTTTGTAATAATCATAATTATTTTAAAAATTAAACTTAATATATTAATATTTGAGAATATTTCATCAATATTTTAATATCATATTCCTTGTTAAAGATTTTATGATTAAATGGGTATAAATATATTTTTTAAAATTAAGAGATCAAAATAAAACTTTATATAAAATTAAAATAACTGGAAGTATACTCTAAAAATCATTATAAAATTGATCTCAAATGATTGGGGGCATAGATGGTGCCACCTTTTCTTAGTATAAAATGACGATGGCCGCATGACCAAAATAAAAAGGGCTGAAAAATAAAACAAATAAATGAAATTGAAACAAATTCCATCAAGATCAAAATGATTATTCAACCATTAAATTATAAAAATGAATAAATAATAAATTACAAACTATATTAAAGTTTAATTCTAATGCTTTGTAAATGCACTAAACATTTTTAAAATTTTTTAATAAATAATTTATAAAAAATTTAAAATATAAACTGTTAAAATATATTAATCCAATATTAGAAAAAGAAGAGGAGGAAAGAGAATAAGAAGGGAAGATGAGAGATTCCAAACTGTATGACCAACGTCGGTCAAGAGTTGGAAGTGGAGATAAATACTACCTTTGTTCCTAATTATAAGACTTTATTTGTAGTCTACAAATGATGTCTTGTAATTAGGACGAAGGTAGTATCATATTTATAAAATATTAAAATTCTTAATTTGTCTTTCTCATAAGCTTGACTCACTCCTCAATTTTTACACAATGCGTTAGATCCACCTATAGTTATTGTGATCTTTATTTTTCACCTTTGAGATTTTGATCTCAAGTTTATTCATGTTCTCGAGCGATAGAACATATATAATATAATTTATATATTAAATGAGCTTAATAAACCCTGGATAAATAAACCTCTTATTTTTGTCCTCTCTGGCCATAAACTTTTTCAGATGTCAACTGTTTCCCTAAATAAACTTTCATAAGAAGCATTTAAGTTAATCTGCTGGAATTTATATATTACCTAAGAACAAAATCATTTAAATTTCAAGCATGACAGGTAAAGAATGAAGATATTAAAAAAAAAAAAGGTCAAGACGCATCTAACATTCTTAGGTATTTTTTTTATATACACTTAGTGTCCCTAAAATTATTTATGGTACAATAATTTTACGGATAAAGTTTTATAAAATGGAGCAATCTCATTTAATATTAATAGATCTTTAAAATTAATCATTAAATTTCTGACTAAGGTAGAGTGTGACAGAAAAACTTAGTTGGCAAATGATAAGGGGGATGACATGGCATTGTAAACCTTTTTTCTTTTCTTTTTTGGGTTAAACAGAGTTAAAATCTCACCCTGAAGTTAGGGTTTGGAGGAGGGTATGAACTATGAAGAAACCACAGTCCTTTGATCTCTTCCATTTTATTCTGCATTTTCAGCATCTGCTCGCCGAAATTTGACGTCCTTTGCATCGGTCCCTTGGACAACTACAGCATGCAAACATTGCCATGGCTGTCGGTGCTCCGAAAACAGTCGGTGCAGCCATGTTGGTCCCTCTCTTTTTTTCGGTTATGGCCTTCATATCCCAATCCCGAAAGGGCAAAACAACAAAGATCTAGTCTTTTTATTCCTCTTATTAATTTTTCCAAAGTAAGATGATAAATATACAATATTTTATAATTTAACAGAATTAAAAAAAAAAAAGAAAAAAGAAGAAGAAGCTCCAAGTAGAATCATGAAAGGAGAAAAGTGAGAGGCTAATCTATATAAACACAGGGTAGAAATCCATCTTATTAAAGCTTGAAGCTTTAGGAGTAGGCTCTCGCGACGATTGAACTGAGTAGATCTCAACTCAGTACGATTAGACTCATCAAGTTTGATTTATTATTAAATGAAGAGACCAAGGAAGAAGCAGCCCGATTTCCTGGTTTGGTGAAGATTTCTGGTTCGTATTTATTAAGGTTGACGTGCACGATAGGTTCACAAGATTACAGCCGCATTAGATTTCTGGTTCGTATTAATTAAGGGTGGCGTGCATGATACATTTTCGTCTTAACTCGAGCGGGGTTTTAGCAAATAAAATGGCCTTATTACATTGAAAAAAAAAAAAAAAAAGCTAATGAGGTCATGAATAAAAACAAATTTACTGAACGCAGGCAAAAAAGAAAACACACACACACACGCATTTATCGAAGAGTAAGTTGAATTCATATTATTTTGTATAAATAAACTAAAACTCGACCATGATAATTGGCAAAAAAAATTGTTCGAAGCTATCTAATTAATTTATTATTTATTTGATATTGAAAGTTGGACTTTTGCAAGTCGTAACGAATACTACTTTACCGGTTACACAATACACGTGGGGCTTTGTGCCTTTTTAAAAAAACTTTACCCGTACATTTGTCATTGGGGAAAAAAAAAAATCTAAACCCCCTTTTTAATGCAAGAGGTTATTCTAGTTATGTTAAGCATAAACTAAAATAAAAGTACCAGGGCCGAAAAATCGTATGAAATACTCATACACTAGCCACTTGACAAGAAAATTGACATTCAAATTAAAAAAAGAAAAACAGTACAACATTTCACTAACTGATTTCATTATGGGCTAGGGTGCAAATTTATTTTGAAAATTTTTATTTGGAAGCGCTGGGTGCACTGTTATCCGAAAGTTTTTTAGGAGCTAATTTATGTTGAAAATTTAAAATTATAACAATATCATCCATGCTGTTAAAAATGTTAACAACGAATATAAAGTTTTTTAATAATATAGGACAACATTGCAATAATTTTGAATTTTTAGAGCAAATTTGTACTAAAAAAACACTTCCAAATGCCTGATATTCCTGAGTAAAATATTTTCAAACCAAATTTGTATTTTAACCCATCTCACCGTGGAAGTACAGTTTCGCTGGTTCTCATTCTCTCGTTTGGAATTTTGGACATGGCTTCATTCGTAGGTCAGGTCCCACTGTCCCAACATCACCATCTCAAGTACATTTAAAAATGCTGGGCAAAAAAAAAGTACATTTTAAAATGCCTTGTGAATCGGATCTCCGGCAAGAGATCTCCCAGAAAATACCCCATACCCAATTATTTGACCTTCATATACCTACCGCGTGATCGGAGGCTGCATGGCTACCCATATTTGGATTTTTACTAGATACAGTGGTAGCCGACTCTGTGCGGAACTGCAAGCACTGGCTGAGCCTTCTCTAGTGTAAGTCCAAATTTATCATCCATGTCCATGTCCTCTGCTTTCATTCCACCCTCCAGCTTCCAATCAAAGCAGTTCACAAGAGATCCCAACATGAGCATCAACATTCTAATCCCTAAAGGGTATCCTGGACACAACCGCCGTCCAGCACCAAACGGAATCAGCTCAAAATTCCGGCCTTTGACGTCGATTTCTGAACGCAAAAACCTCTCTGGTAAGAACCCTTCCGGATTCTTCCATATGCTCGCATCTCTTCCGATAGCCCAAACATTTACCAGAACTTGTGCATCCTTTGGGATTATATAGCCCCCCACCTCAACGTCCATCTCAGATTTCCTAGGCAGTAAAAATGGAACCGCTGGGTGCAACCGGAACGTCTCTTTCAGTACTGCCTGCAAGTAAGGCAGTCTCGCTATGTCTGATTCTTCCACTGGTTTTCCTTTCCCTATGGTTTCTTCCAGCTCTGCTTTTGCTTTTGACATTGCCTTTGGGTTATGGAGTAGCTCAGCCATTCCCCATTCTAGCGTAGATGTCGTCGTATCACTCCCGGCCGCAAATAGGTCCTACATATATAACCATAGTTGAGATATATACTGCAATAGCAAAACCAGATTAATTATCAGCAGAGGATTTTCTGGTACCAGTGATAAACGTTGGATTCTCTCTCCTTCCATCTGTTCTCTGTTCTCTTCGGAAAGGAGAACATCTAATATGTCGTTGCTGATGGGTGAACCTGTGTTTTCTATGAGCTTCTTCCGTTGGCTAACCAAGTGGTGGAAGACGTCTAAGATCTTGCTAAAATGAATAGCGGTGCGTCTTCTGACACCTAGTGGATCGAGCTTCTTGAGTATAGGAAAATAGTCGGCCACGTTGGGCGTTCCAACCTCTTTCATGATATTGGCCACCGTCTCTCTGAACTCCCCGGCTGAACCTACAGATCGAACCAGATCCACAGAGAATATTGTATTGGACAACAAATTGATGGTAGTTTTGAAAGCCGCTTTTCCGATGTCCACTGCTTCACCAGTCACACTGCTTTGTTCGACCTCTTGGAGGAGCTGTTGCACCTTGTGACGCCTGAGATCTTGGCTAGCGTCAAGAATCTTGCTGCCAAATAACTGACTGTTGCATAACTTCCTCAAGGATCGCCAGCGAGGGGAAACGGGAAGGAAGGGCAAGCTATATTCGTGGTGGTTGACGGCTCTCATGGCGTCGGGAACGGTTCGATTTGACAAGAACTGGTCATGGGTCAGGAGGATCCCTTTGGCCATATCGGCGGAAGAGACGACTACGGTGGTGATTTGGCCGAGCTGTAAACTCATGATGGGGCCGTAAGTTTTGGCAAGCTCGGCCAAACACTTGTGAGGCTTGTTCCCAAGAGCAAGCAAGTTTCCGATGACAGGAAAAGGAGGAGGTCCGGGAGGGAGGCGGTGGTTTCCTCTGCTGCTTGTTCCATGTAACGAACAAAGCGCTTGGATGAAGATGAAGCAGATGACAGACATGAGAATACAACTCATGAGATCCATTTCTGTGCGATAATAGCATACCCCAAATCATTGCTCCCATGCATTCTATAGATTAGCGCTGTGCCCAAGGGATTGGAGGCCTAGAATAATGATCGACTTCAAAGCTCAATAATTGAAATGTTATTTATTTATTTTTATTTTAAATACTCTACGATAAAATATCATATGAATCCAAACCCGCGTCGGGTGATGTGTCCTTTTACCAGCAATAAACTATTCATATGCGGCTCATCGCTTAATGGTTAACTAGCGCCTTCTCAAGCGGATCCAAATCCAGATCATTTTCATCAATGCAACACGAGTTAATAAAATAATCCACTACACATGGCAAGGAATCAAGTTACTTCATCAGCTCTAGGTCCTATCATCCCATTTATTTAATCCTCCTCTTAAATGTATAAACTAAATTAATTTTGATACTTAATGAATATAATACCTTTAATTCAAAAAAAGCACTGCTTAAATTTTGAAGGCCAGAAGTATACAACTAACACACGCGTACACGTAGACATTTGCGTGCGTGTTCTTTTACCACTCATGGAGACAAGTATTTGATACGCTGGCGGGAAGAAAGCCAAAGTCAAAAGTTTTAACTTTCGGCCTTCAATGATCCGGCCCGTGCGTGAAGACACAAGAAGACCTTGACCATTTTACACAGGAAATTAAGAAAAATCTTCAGCTCCAACTAGTGCGACTTTATTCAGGCTATTATAATTCACAGTATCTGTTCTTTTTAAAAAAATATATGGTGCCTTGAATGGATCACCTTATCATTTACTATGTGAATAATTTTCAGTGATCATGATGAGACCACCCCAAGCTCATTAATAGTGAACTTGAAGGCATCAAGTGACAGCAGACCGAAAAAAGATCAACAACCATATATAGCACCAAATAATTGACATAGCTTTGTGAAACAGGCTTTCATATCTGGCCAAAAAAAAAAAAAGGAATCCCGTGATCATGAACTGATCTTACTTGGAATCACAAATCCCAAACTTGTCTTTACACGAAGAGTGGATCTAATTTTATTAATGTCCATAATTGATTTTTTTTTTTTTTGGTTTGTGTGATCCTAATCGATATGATCTCACTGGCGAACCTATATTTAATTGGCCACGGACCCAAATTTACCTGCATGGAACATTTTTTATCGGGAAAATTTCGGATGGCTCCTATTGTAGCAAATTTATTTCTAATAACCCCTACATAAATTTGAAATTTCACTCTACCCTTTTAGACTCGCCAAAAGTTTTATGGTCTATTTGCATTAACAAGGGAGGGACGAAAGAATTTTAATGAAAAAGTAGGAGAGGGAAGTGACTTTAAATTGTCTTGTATGGTTTTATTTGATTGTAGAGGAGGAAGGAACTTTGCTGTTTTATTGTTTTAATCAGAGGGGAATATGACAATAATAATAATAAATTAACAATTCCTCTTTTTTCTTGGTTTTAGTTAGCAAAGTGGAAGATGAGTAAATAGCAAGTAGGAGACCAAAGCCAAAAAATAAATAATAACTGAACACGAGCGTGGAAAGGACAGCATTAGCTTCAGCTTCTCTCCACGAGATGCAGTTCAAGGTTTTGTGTTTTCTTCTACATTGCAAGCCTATGTTAAAGTCACACAAATAGAGGCCTGGAAGAGGAAAGACAACGGGTAAAAGCAACGACGGCCATGATTGCTTCCTGTGAACAACGGTCTAGATTTGTTCGCTTCACCAAGGGGCGACACCGTTTTTGGGAAGCAGCGAAGATACTGTAAAAGAAAATGTAGCAGAGACACCGTTTTCTAATGCCCCTTCGGATGCGGCCCTGTGCTCTCTGGGATAACGGAACGAGCGATTCACACGTGTAAAGCTAGGAAAAGAATATATGCATCTTCCGGTTAATGTCGAAGCCCCCATGGCTCACCGCCTGGGCACGATATTTTGCAAAAGGTTCGCGGCACTGAGCGCGCCCAATTGTAGGAGGACGAGACTGTGCTGCAAAATGTCTGCCGAGTCATCGCCGTTGATTCACTCAATCACATTGCCGAAGCAAGTAGCTGAGCCCGTCAAGATTGTCGCGGCTCCTGGAATCTCCCCTTCCGAGTTCTGGTATCTCTGCTTCAAACCGCCTTCGTCTTTTTAGTTTCTGCAGATCATCCTTTTAATTTTGTTTCTTGGTCACATTAAATAAGAAACCAGAGAGTTTCGAATCTCAAGTAGTTTTGTGCATTTATTGCTTCAATTAAAATAATTGCAAATGAAAATTGACCCGGGAAAAAAAAAAAAAAAAAAAACTACTTACCCCCGGTGGTTAAACCAAGGCAAGGGCTAATGTTGCAAATTCTACACCGGCAAACTTTCTTTGGCTAATATCATTAATTTTTGGTGCAAAATTTAGGACCACGGATGTAATCTCCTTTTAGTTTCTATCAGCTCTATTCGGAATTTGAACTTTTGCAAACGGTTCTTGATTTAATGTTCTCTTGTTTTTATTTGATGTCAAAGCTAGCTGAAGATGGTCCAAGTGTTAATTTCCAGCATCGATATCAAATTCAGACGTGTGAAGCGTTGTTTTAAACTAAAGTCGTTAGGGGCGTGAGCCTAAACTGAGCCATTTGAGAATCAGTCGATATGTCTAACTAGTAACTACTATGACGAACATAGCATAATTTTCCTCTGACGTTTCTTGTGCAGGAGTGCTATTGATTCCTCTTTATTCAAGCAGTGGTTACATAATCTGCAAACTGAGAATGGGGTCTTAGCCTTTGGTAACGTGGTTCTAAGACAAGTTCTCATTCAGGTTACCTTCATGCTGGTTCTTCGCGATCTGCTACACTGATAATTCACGTATATTTACTCTTCTCGGTTTTTTGTTCTTTTCATGCTGTGTAAACTTCTTGACTATTATGAGGTATTGATTGAGACTTGCACAAAATTTTGCTAGAACAAAATCTAATAAACAACTTTAGGCGCAACATTGAGACATAATTAAATAAATATTCTGATGAACATAGACCCCTGTTCGTTTCATGGCATAGGGTGGCGAGACATGCTTTCCTTGTACCGGTCTCCTAGAAGCTAAAACATCACAGTCTGATGTGCTATGCTTCATAGATCTCAAGTTATTAATGTTTGATCAATGCAGGGAAGTGGGCAAGTGATTCCTTTGACAAAGCAATGACAAAAAAGATTGTCAATATAGGTCTTGTCTTAAGTTTCTTCTGAACTAATTACTGAGACTGCACATGGAAACAAACAATAGCATGCCATGCATTTTTAATGTAATTGCTAAGGACTAGAGAGTGACAGTAAGGAAAATATATCTTCATGGTCTCTGTAGGGATTTCGTTTTAAAGCAGAGGATATAGTTATATGGTGGTAGTAATTTCTCCTAATCCTGATCATCAGAAGTCTGTTGATTTTGTTTTCTTTGGGTGTGCCGTGTGCATGTTAGCAGGGGGTGGATATGTTTGGAAAGAGAATTGGGTTTCTCAAATTCAAAGCTGACATTGTTGACAAAGAAACTGGCCAAAAGGTATCCAATTTTCTGTACTGAAATTCTTCAATCTAAATCTACTGCCTTCAGTATTCATCTGTTTTCACAATAGTAGTGAACTATGGATCTTCTTGGATTTGTTGTTCCTATTCTTATCTCTTTCGATAGCTTTATTGGTTACTTTACTCTTTCCCCTTTTCTTCTGAGAAAGAAACTTGGGAGGGGTTTAGACAATTCATTCATTTCTTTTGGTTGTATGCTGTGACGATTGGATTGGGAAGTCAAAGTTTACTGTTTTGTGGACCTACATTTTGGGCAACTAATCTTTTGTTTCGTGGACCTGCACGTTGTGCACCTAATCATTGTTTCATTTTGTTTGATTATATAGTAACCCGTGATTAGGTTCCAGGTATCGTATTTGCACGGGGACCAGCTGTGGCAGTGTTGATACTTTTGGAATCAGAAGGCGAGACATATGCTGTTCTTACTGAGCAGGTAATGGCTGCAAATTTGGAGTTTTTTTTTCTTGTTGGTTTCGAACCAATTAATATCTGAAATTTATATCTTTCATGTTTCTGATGGGTCCCAATCTTCCGTCACGGAAACCCACAGAAGGAGATCTAAGGGAGTGGCAAAAAGGGCACAAAAGGGAACTATTTATCACAACTCACAAAGAATATAACAAAATTTTAACCGAAGAAGTAAGAGTGGAGGGAAAATAGGCGAGCTTGGGGTGCAGCTAGAAGGATAGACATTGGCAGGGAGCAGTTGGGTTGCCTATTTGCGGAACTCAGTCTCAGTTTTTTGGGGGAGTCTATTAGAAAAGCAAGAAGCTTGGGCTATTTGAGCCAAATTCTAAAATAAAAATAAAAATGTTCACTAATATACTATACAAGGTCTGTTGATATTGCTGTGCTGTTGATTTCTTTTGTGTTATTAAAAAGGTGCAAGGGAAAGTTGGATTTTTGGCTGATATCAGTGTCTAGAACGTTGGTACTGTTACAGTGGAACTTTTTTATTCATACAAAACGCAAGTTCAATTGCATTGCATCTCTTGCCTTGCAGTCCTATTTTCTGTTTCCAATCAAGCAGGGAGTTCTAGAATTTAGTTTCAGGGCCCTAACAGCTTCATTTCAATCTCATTGAAAAATAAGGTAAGGGTCCCTACTGGAAGGATCTTATTGGAACTGCCTGCTGGAATGTTGGATGATGACAAGGGCGATTTTGTTGGCACTGCAGTTCGTGAGGTCCTCTCTCTCTCATTCACCCCCCCACTTTCCTCTTTTGGCTGGTGAAAAGTCTTAGCTGTGCGTTTTTTCTTATGGCCCTCTTTCTTTGCATCACGGCCTTTGGTTTCACTCCTCTTTTTATTGTAATTGATTAGAATAAATAGGCGAGTTATGTTTCATTGAATGATAAAAATGATAATTTTGTATGGGATCAGTTTTTAAAGATGTGATCTGCAAGTAGTTTTACTCCTTGATAACCTTGTTTGAACTTTTGAGCTCACTACAGTGTTGTTCATGGGTTATCATGCCGTGCATTGACAGGTTGAAGAAGAGACTGGCATACACTTGGATGTAGAAGACATGATTGACCTCACTGCCTTCCTGGAACCATCTACTGGATGCAGAGTTATTCCTTCTCCGGTATTTCAAATTCTTTTCTAGAAGCCTGAGGACCTAATTGGTTACTTGTCTGTGCATCCTTTTTTGTCTTTGTTTTTTGGCGTACTCCAACACTAGCAAATAAATTAGCATGATGCCTGTTGCTGATATATAAATTTATGAAATAACATCCCCAAGATAGAAGTGGTGGTATTGTGCAATTCATGTGGCTTTAGCGGGATAAGACTACTTGTTTGTTGCTGTTGTAGAGTAGCACTTTATAAGAATACAACCATTTATGTCATAATTAGAAGAAAATTTAGGTCATTTGATAACCTGCTCATGTGACTGATTTAACACTGCCAGGGATCCAATGGCTTTGCACATATGTTGGGAAATTTGTCACAGAATGAATTGTGGTTTGCGATACTCTTGAACTCTGGAAATGGATGAGAAAAGCAAGTAGTGAAATTTTAGATGTGTCTACTTTACATGAGTTGTCTGAGTGATGAGATGTCTTTTAGTATATGGCTGCATGAGAACTTGCTGCAAACTACTTAAACGTTTCACCTACTTAAGCTTCCTCAACAACTCTCAACAATTCCCTTATATTTAATAAACTAAAATGACTATTTTGCTCTAATCTTAAACGAAATTTAAATTCTTTCTTATGATTGAAGGGAGGCTGTGACGAAGAAATCAGTCTATTTCTGTTCAGAGGCTCTGTTAATAAGGAGACTATCACACAGCTACAGGGTAAAGAAACAGGCCTTCGTGAACACGGGGAGCTGATAAAGGTTCGGGTTGTACCATACGAGAAACTTTGGCGCTCAACTGCTGATTCCAAGGTTTTAATGGCTGTTTGTTTATTTGAAATGGCTACAAAAGAAGGACTATTGCCTCCATTGGCAACATAGTTTGCTGGCCGGCTTTCCTTATTGGTGGTGGAGAATCCTTTTCTGGCCACCATTGAGGACAGGGAACTAGCGCAGGTCATTTATCTCAGATTCTGCATGTGTTTTCCTGTAAAATGATGTGGTGTACCTTTAAGCTTAGCCTAGCAACGCCAATAACAACGATTGTTAAGGTTAATAGATGTGACATTTTTTTTCGGAAGATATCATTTCTTCTTTTGGTCACAGAAAAAATAGATTAGACGGAATGCAATAAAACTTTTGTCGAGCATTAAATTATTTCACATATTGCTTGTTTTCAAATTATAACCTTTAGTCAAGGTCAATAAAGAAAATGATAACCTTTAGGCCCGAAGACACAAGCCCCGGACAATTGTGCCCTCTTTTGTTAGACGCAACTATGAAACCCTGCATACCCATATCTACGAGTCTCTCTCTCAGAGAACTCATACATGCCCACATCCACATAGAGGAGGAACTTGCAAAACCACCCCCTTTAAGAGAGTTGCTTGGTGCCAATGTGGTACTACAGCACTGGCGAAAGATGGCACCACTGAGGGCACTGCAGAACTGGAGCAATATATCCGTTTATTCCGGATACAATTATATTCTTTTAACCTCATATAACTTCCTCGTCATTTGCAAGTTTAGGCATTGGTTTGGGCCATCAAATGCCGCGACGCTTACAATGACTTGGATGATGAAGCCTGCCCTAACCTCAGAACGAGGTAATTAATAAAACTAAATGAAATATTTCTTCAACCTTTAATATAAAACTCATTTTGTAGTGTAAATAAATTTTATATTTAAAACTAGAGAAAGTATTTGTTAGGAGTGTGCAGCAACCAGAGGCTAGCTCAGGTGGCAGGATCGAGTATGACAAGCCAACAGACGTGTTGCACAACCCTAATTAGAGCCCAAGCACATACCCACTGCGGATAAGGTTTGACTTCCATTGTAGATGGATCACTTCTTTCGTTTCGTACCAATTTTGGGCTTTTGTTCTTCATTAGAAGGTAGGTCACTAAAGGGCTTAAAATAATGCGGCAGGCTATGGATCCCTCAAATACAGAAACCACACTAGCAACAATAAGAATCGCCCAATTAGGTGCCTGAGCAAGAACAATTCACTTGTTGATTTGGCTTCCCTGACTCAGGTAAATTTAAAGATTCGGTCTTACTTGTTTAATACACGAGTGCCAATCTAAATTACAACTGATTTTGATACATACTTCTGAGTTTATTAGACCTTGCTCGTAGCAAAATCTCTATCACTTGCCTCCCAGATAGTGGTGCCATCACACGTACAAAGTTTTTTATAGTTTTCACCAACACCTGCACTTCTGGCAACCACCGCAGCATCTATACCGCTGTCTGTTTTACCTTCAGTTGCATATATCACCACAGATCGACCAATAAGATCAGCCACCCTCAGTTTTTCTTTGACCCCAGAGAAGTGCGCCTCACCCTTTTCATTAGCATCTAGTGTTCCCAGGTCACCAAGTGGCTGCAAATGCAATTGAAGGACAAGGGAAATTAATGTCCTAAGATGAACGTATTCAGTCCAGGTTATTCAACTGAAAAGAAAGAAAGAACGCAAGGAAGAAAAAAGTGCAATTATATCAATAGGCTATATTTCTCATGAAAGTACATCATGCATCTGTCAACGAGCACCCGGGGGCATTGAGTCAGGAAAAAATGGTTTTGTAACTGAAGGAATAAAACCTATCAGTCTGTGTATGTATCCTCTCAACCATCTCCCAACTTGATCAGAATGGCTTCAAAGAAAAAGGTTTTAGCAACAGCATATTACAGGCATATCACACATTTTACAGGAATTTTAAACAGATTCGATCAGCAAACATAGCCACATCACCCTATTACACATCCGGATTCATCTCGTTTAATTCACTAATTTGATCATTCTAGTTAGCACCATGTAGCAATATCAGTCATAAATTCATTTAGATAAAAGTTTTACATGAAAGGTACGGAACAATAAAACTACAAAAAATGTCTGGAGAAGCAAACCTGTTTGTTGATTTCCTCATTAGTCGGATTGAACACTCTCCCAGTGCTCGCTGCACCTCTAGTCAGATCTCCAAACTCATTAATCGACCAACCATGCTTTCCAGGCGACAACCCACTGAAACTGGCTTCAATCCTGGCCAATTCCATGTTTACTTGAGCCAGGCGAACAACTCCAAAAATATTGGGGCCCTTGAACTCGGAAACAGCAGCAGAAATTAAAAAGTCTGAAGTAGAAGAGTTGTTTATGAGAACTACACTCATGAGATGATCAAAACCTAGAAAAATATAAGTAGCAATATATCGCTGACAATCAAACTGGGTTTGAGCGACATGTGCATTGCTATGCAATCAATGACTTTTGAAGATTGTTGCAAAAATATAGCGATATCCAATATCTAGTTCTTTTACCCCACTTTTGGGTAAGAGAAAATTTAGGTGAGTTGTAGCACAAGAGCTCACTAAGATCAGAACAGGTCCCATGGCATAAAAAGTTATTACAGAGGTTTATGCAAACCAACCTTCAACAATTCTCACATCAACAATAGGATTTAAACCCACACCCTTTTAGAGTACGAGTCATATACTTGCTAAGTGAACCAACCTTCCATGGCAAATGTTGTTTTCTTGTTGATGAAGTCACATTTCATGTTATGCCATATTAGAGACAAAAGAACAAGGAAAATATGCAAACAAGCTGCTACAGCATAGCACCAGGTTAATGCATAGTAATAGTATAGCTAATGAGTCAGGATAACACGGTTATGTGAATTCATGACATTTATGATCAAATTAAATTTTGCTTGGCAAAAAACTACTAAAGCAGATAACAAATTAATTTGGCTAGTAAGCTGGATGTTGACCAAGAAAGGTTCTTTTAGTGGTGGGTCCGTGGCATTTATATCATACCACCCAGGAGCCTAATTATGATGCTCCTCGTATTCTTCCAGGACCTTGAGCAAGGGTAACCCTGCATATCTAACGATTGCCCAAGCCTTCAAACTGGTGCTTTTACAATCTAATGTGATGTATATACTTAACAAAATAAGATCATACAGAAAATTATCACTCTAAAAGAAAAATATTATCAAATTGGCAACTAATAGGCATACAATAACATCGAGAATTTAACAGGCCAACCTTCAGGCACCCCTTGTCCAATCAATCGGGCTCTTCTGCCAGTCTGTTCCAAAGCTTCAGTCATCGTCTTCACTGGTGTGGAACCAAGAATCCTAACAACCTGATTACTCAGATCCACTTCAACGTTCTTCACTCCTGGTAAATGTGACAGAACGAATAACAAAGGAAACAACCTATCATTGGAATTAAAAATGCTAAACAGGTCACTTAGAACGATACATCAGAAAGCCTACCATTTACTGACTGTAGTTTATTCTTGACCGCATTAACACAGCCTTCACATTTCATATCCACCATGTATTCCGTCTGGCACCAAATTAACCATAAAACATTAAAGCACCAGATGATCAGCAAGTCATTTTTGTTGCAAAAGAGTTTCTTGACAACATTTACAAAACTGAGAATTTGATAGAGCAAGAGAACGAGATCCTTGAATGAACAAGAAAACAGGGACTTACACCCTGGGGCAGTCCCCCTCCCTTTTATGCGTATTACTATGCAATAGAGATCAACTGTAATTTAAACTCCTAGAAATAATGGCATAAAGAGATAACACTCCAATATAACAAAAATTCTAAGCCTTCAAACGATGATATGCTTGGAATCTCAATAAAGATAACCTTCGAATTATTAAATCTGAATTATCTCCAGCGGTATTTAGACATTTCACTCCAACATACTACACAAGTGTGGAAGTGGTACAGATTTTAAAATATGGAACTGCAGAACACACCAGGAGCAGATTTAGCTAAAGCTGAGCAAACTAACAACTAAAAGCCCAGCGAAGCAACAAAAGGCATGAGGAGGATTCCATCCAATCCAAATATAAAAGAAAAGGAGACAAGTGCTTTCAGACTAAATTGTCAAACGTACCAGTAAATCCGGCAAAACAGCATCGGCCTATCAAGAGAAAGAGGAAATAACAATAAAATAGTTCAGACTATAGGCGAATCAATATAAGAAGACAAAAGTTCGATATAGATGATGGCGAACCTGAGAAGAAGGGCTGTGTTGAGAGGTTGGGGCGTCCATGTGGAGAGCTGGGCCGGGGTTAGCAAATGTCCTGAGAAGACCGAAGCGGTTTGGGTTGAGCGATTGAGAAATGGAGAGGAAGGGAAGGTGTGGGACTTTGGGAGATTGGGAGGAAGAGGATGGCGATGATGAAAGAGCTGAAAAGGCGAAAGCTGCAGGAATTGCAGAAGCAGCTATGGCAGTCGTGGTTGTTGCGACTGACCTTAAGAATGCCATTTTCGCGTAATTATAATTCTTCCATCGGATCGATTTGAGTCATGCACTCTCATAAGTCGATAGCTTTCCGCGCGCGGACTCACCTGCTCGCCACTTCCTTCTGGAACCATCCATCCCTTCCACAACGTAGCTTTTTTTTTTTTTTGGGGCCAACCACCACTATATCTAATTTTATATTCTTAATTTTTATTTGCCATAAAAGTTTTACAAATACTTCTAGAATTTTAAAATTCTAAATTAGTTTTGTTTATTATATTTAACAACACATTTTAAAAGTAATTTTTAATTTGAGATTTTGAAAATAATGTACTCCTCCGGTCCTTAATATAGGACTTAATTCTTGAGTTGGTTTTGGTCTTAAATATAAGAGTCATTTCTCATATTTATCAATTTTCTATAAATTACCCCTATGAATACTCCCTCAACTATAATCAAGTAAAAGAGGGAGAGGGGTATTAAGAAAGATGATTATGGTGTTTTAGGAAAAATGTGTCACTTTTCTTATAATTAACTAACTTACCTAACTTCCTTAATCTAATCAAATTAGTTAAATGAGTCTTATATTAAGGATCGGAGGAGTATTAATGTTAGCCCAGGTTTATGTCAGGTTAAAGTTTTGTAATCATACCGCTCATTATAATTTTCTAATTCTTCTCTTTAAATATATTACATGCAATTAATTTTATGAAGGCAGCGGATTTGAACCCGTGCCAGAAAATAACAAAATATAGGGATAAATTTTGAAGCATCAGCCTTTCTTAAATCCAAGCATTGGTGAAGACGTAATTTATTTAGGAACATCCCAACTGGG